ATACGGCATCCACCTCTCATTTCTAACGTATGCATGCGTAAGATAAACTCTTTGGTACGCGAGGTATTTATGTGCTAATGCGGTGTTAAACTTCAACGTAGTCAAGGTCATTTTATTGCCTTATTCGTAATCAGTAACATTGAGTAATAGTCTACTTTTGTATTTGAGAGGGCAACGGTTTCGTGAGGGGCAAATTTTACTGAGTTTACTAATTAATTAGTTGCTAAAAATAAAAAATAAAATTAGTAATATTTGACGAATTGCAATTAATATTATGGATATATATAATATTATGAATTATAATTATGTATATTATATATATATATATACATATATACTTTTGTATAAATATGGCAAACTGTGTCTGTGAAGATTGTAGTGTTTGTAGAGCCGTAGAGGAACAAAACATAACCTCTGGTATATATTTTAAAAATGTACACACATACGAGTAGATATAGATTGATGGAAAATGTCAAAGTCAGAACATTGCTGATGATTAAAGTCGGGTTTTTCTACACAACTGTTGTTTTGTTGTTAAACCAACGCAAATAAATATTATTGTACAATTTTAAATGCATAGAACTTTGAAGACGAAGCAATAGGCTCATTATTTTTATATTTTGGAATGTTACAACAGTTTAAATTTAAACGATGAAAGTATTATCTGCCTAGCTTATCCCAATGAAGTGTTACTGATTCTATATTTAGAGTATGAGTTAATGTTCTGGGACGCATCAGCGGTGAAAGCTAGGGACTATTTTTAAATATAATACTGGGTGAATGGTTAACATTGAATTTAAGTATATGAAAAAATCTGTTGTAAACGTAACTTCTTTTTGAGACTCTTTTACCTAATATTCTAAACCACCTGTTTACAATATTAAGTAAATAGATGAGAAAGACGTCATTGAACAAACGAATTTTAATAATTAAACCATATATAATACCAAATCTACGTCATACAAATAAAATTTTAGTAACTATGTAAAATTAACGTTAATTACTCAAATCACGCTTGGTATGGGTGAAATTTATTAAAAAAAAGTGAATACTTTGGCACGCCCGTGTTGTTGTGCATTCATATGCCTCGTGTACTAAACATTTACGCAAACCCTCGTGATTCTAGCTGAAATATCTTAACGAGGTTGATATCGGGGGTATTTGTGAGACATTTCAAACTGACTGACGGTAATGTTATAAATAGTTGATGATGTATATTCGTCTGTAGGCGTGACTCTACGTGAATGATTACGTTTTTTTAATTCGTAACGTCAATATATATCTAAGTATATACATTGAACATGTTATGCTTTACTCGTGATATCGATCGGAGTTCATGGATGTCCATACGTGCTGCTTTAGACTGCAGTAATATTATTAGCATACATACAATAAACATCTAATAAGTTAACACGTACGCGATATGTTTAAATCGGTCCTCTCTAATAAGTACAAAATCAGTTGCTGTACTTGTTATTTCCAATTCCATTTCATTATAATAGTAGGTTTGTATATTTTCCCAAAAACCGTCCCGAGGAGTCGCCAGGTACTTAAGGAACTTCCTAAGAAAACACCAAGCTCAGGACCATAGGCATTTATTATTCAAATATTCATGGAGGTAATGTAGCAGTTAAAAATCTTAATAGCGAGGTTTACATTAAGAGAACAACGCCATCTATCGGTACTAATGCAAATCAAGGCATGTTTATAGTATTACTTTACTCTGTGATGTATACTATGTGGACACTGTACAAGGTTTTGTTTATTTATTAAAATGCTAGATAGTAATTTACAGGTAGTTCATAGTTGCCTTTACAGTGAATAAATAACTTTGCTTATGTCAGCTTCAGTAGTAACGTAACCGTCTAGTCTAGCTGGCGTCGATAGCTATTTTTGTCCTTTAACCGTTAGAACTTATCTACTGTCGCGAGTACACATGTATAATGACGTCATCGCAACATGTGGCCCAACTGATACCGCTTTTGTTTCAAATGAAAGTTGAAATTGGACTTTTTCTATTGTTCTATTTTTTTATAAAATAGTACTATAATGCTTAGAGCGCTATATTTTAAAAGTGTAGCGGCTTTTTAGTTATATATTACAAGTAAAAAATATTGTAATTAATGAATATTATAAAATACGTTAAGTATATGATACTAGCTGACCCTGCAAACGTTGTTTTGCTACGAGTATTTACATTATTTAATTTTTTTTTTTTTTTTGAATTTCTTAAAATCCGTTCTTAGCTGACCTCTACTTGGTGAAAAGAATATTCCTACCAAATTTCAAGTCTTTAGCTCTAATGGTTCCAGAGATATCGTGATGAGTGACTATATACGTGGAAATCTCTTACATATATATAGATTATTAATATACTACCTGCAACAATACACATCGAATGTTTTTAAAGTCTTAGCTATTTCGAGTTGTAGAAATTGTTTGTGCTAATATTTTTAAATAAAATTGCATTATCGATGTCGCGCTCAATCTCGTTACCGTCCCCTCCTTCCCTTTTTTTAAAGGTATAGGGAGGCAAACGACAAGACAGATCACCTGGTCTCCACATACGAGTAAGTATGCGTCGTTAATATATCTATACTTACTTTATGAATGTCAAAGAATTATTCTAGAAACATCCTAGTATAAAGGCTGGGACAGTCAGCGGGGACTGATTGTAATGTAGTTTGTACTAAATACTAAATGCAGGCTTATATACATAGAAAATAACACCTATTCGTGTCGCACTCTACATTTAGTTCTAGTACATTTTAACTACTCACACCACGTCGCAATCCCGCTCTGCCCGCTGTCTGTCCTAACTTAAATGTGTATAGGTAGATTGTTTCTTTATTTAATTCTTTACAAAGAATTTAAAATTTAGCTTAAACGCTTTGTACTTTTTGCTCCCTTTTTACTATGCGATTGCTACATAAATAACTTGACTTTTTTCTTTTATAAACTGTATTGTTGGATGTAAACGTGCGCTCAAGCCAGCCACCAGACCGTGAAATTATCCAGCGCCAATTTTGTTCATTTTTTCAACACCTTTTTTGTAGAAAATTGTGTAAAGACAGATAACTTAATATTGAAGGTTTTTATATGACGTGATGTCATGCACGTCACTACACCACTACACCGTATTATTAATTTCATTTTAGGAATATAGACACCGTCAGTAATGTTATCTCTTTCTTCTTTGCAAGTCGATTGTAAACTATATGAGTTAAGCATGCATATTTAAATGCTAAAGGAATGAAGCATTTTTGACAATTCATAGACTCAAGAAGGTGTATGAGTAGATTCATTAAATATGGTATACATGTCTAATTAGTGCACCACTTTACCAGTTCAGGATTTTTATGGTAAAAACATCAACTGGTGAAACGGGTCACCTGATGGCAAGTGACTATCAGCGCCCATGAACACCTGTAACTCAAAAGACATTATCTTTTGAGTTACAGGTGTTCATAGGCGTTCATAATTGCCACCCTTTGAGTGGCAATTATTACCTACTTCTGGAGGGTGGGGGGGAAGAAATAGGAAAGGAGGAGATTATATTACTCAAAAACAACGAAAGGATTTCTTAACACCACTCTGGTCGAACTTACCCATGTGCTAAAGCATGTCTTTCTCACTAAGCAAGATTTTTTATCATTTTTCTTAGACCAAATGAGAGATGAATAAAAAAATAATTAAAGACAACTCCCACACCAGGAATATATCCTGAAAAATATACACGAAACGTACACAATGAACACACAGACTCATAAGGCCAATTTTTAGATCATACAAAGTGTCGTCCCATGTGGGCATCGAACCCACAACACTCAGCGTAGTAGGAAGCGGCGTGGCGAGCGCTTAAACCATTACGCCTTCTGTGCAGACAATATTGTTATGTTATAGAATGTAAGTTATATAATAATATGCTATCAGCCAGAGGAATGTCAGCAAAACTAACATATCTATACTCTCTATACTCTCTAAACATATCTCTCTAAACTAAAATATCTACGAAGCAAGCATTCACCCAGACATGATGAGAATTCCACTGTGAGAACGAACGAGAACATTATTCCTGTTGAAACTCATCGTATCTGGATGGATAAATTAGATTGAAAATATTATACTGTTTATGTTAAACACTGGTATATATTGTTATTATAAAACGTGAATTATAATGTATTGGACGTTATTTCTAACAATTAGTAGTGTTTATTTTTTGTAATTATTGTTTTTTCTTCCTGACATTAATTGATTATTTTGACTATAGTTTGACTTTGAATATGGACATTGTATGTATCAAAATCTTATTATAGTAATCAATGATGCTAATAATATACCTATAGGTTATTTTAATTTATGTTTAAATTATATGCAATTATAAATAGAAAAAAGTGGTAAAGCACAGTGAACCTGTTGTGAATGAATACCATGTAATTAATACCTGTGTTATGCAAATAAACAATCTGAATCTGAACCTGAACGTTTCTAACGACATAAGGATATTTGTTACTCTTTAGCGCAATAAGCATTGAAGCTGTTTGAAAAACCTTTACAGTATTGTAGTTTACATAATATAGTTAATACGACATAGACTAGAATTTATACGACTATATAGAAAAAAATGCCTGACAAATTCATGATAAGATTCAAGTAAGCTGAAAAATATTTGCCACTTGCAAAAACCAATTTCTATAGAGTAATAAAAAAACTCTCTTGCCGTTCTATCTAAGCAACTTATGTTCAATTATTCTGAAGTTTTAAATGTTAAGTTAACTCAACTGACTTAAGTCTAGGTAACGTATACTTATGTCAGTAAGTAAAACATTATACATCGAGATGACGACAGCTGAAAAGTTTCTTTTGTAAGATAAAGAAAGTTCGACTTTCACCTTCTCTTCCCAAAAACTTGTCACTACGAGTATAATGTACACATTTAACTTCTTCACCAGGTCGTGGCTCGTCGGTCTGACTTAAAGCTGATTGTAACCTCTGCGACTATGGATTCGAGCAAGTTCTCCACATTCTTCGGAAACGTCCCAACATTTACTATACCAGGGCGCACGTTCCCCGTAGAAACCTTCTTCGCGAAGAATGTCTGCGAAGATTATGTCGACGGTGCTGTTAAGCAGGTAAGGTTTTATATTTCTTCTTGGTTGAGCTACCCTGTGATTGCATTTATCAAACCGCAAGTAGTAATCAGATAAACCATGTATGGGATAGCAAGCCTTTCGGTCTCTTGTCATTTTTATTTTACTTGACTTCGGACAAGAGTTCATTTTAGAAACTTTTTAATAATTAACTGGCAAAAAACAATAAACGTCACAGCAGCATAAATATTCAAATGCTAGCTACTACTAATTTACACTAAATTACGAGTTCGTTCTTCAAATGTTATTTAAACAGTTGCGGCGCTATAGATGAGGTGAGACGTGCGTGACTGCCATTTGCATTATTACTTAATTACCACATAGTTTCGACTGTTATTTCAACTAACTAAAATAAACAAGATGTGTCTACTTTTACTTTATATTGTCACGCGAATGGTTAAATATTTTATTTTGATTACTGACCACAGACTAATCTTTTAAGGCTTTTTGTCAACTACAATCGTTTTGTTACTTGCTGGTAATGTTAATCTAATCTCTTACTAAACAAATAGCCTATAATCTATACAAATTGTTTGCACGATACCTATGTCTAAAAACCAGTTTAAATATTTGTTGTCTGTCTGTTTGTTCCGGGAAGTCTTCGAAACAGCTTTACCGATTTTGTAAATATTTTACTACCAGGTAGCTGTCTATAAAGAGTAACTAAGGCTATATTTCTTTTCAAAAAAACCCTGTAAAATTTTGCCCAGTCCGGGAACCGAACCCGTGGCCTCATGGACTGCAGTTGCGTACCGTACTACACCACTAAAGCAGCGCTTTTTAAATACCAGCTAATTAGTAATAAATTGAAAAATATGTGTCGATATCCACCCCATCTATGCAACCTTTATTTATTAATTGCTTTACCTACAAGTTTTACACTTTTTTTTACAATTACATACTACATGCTCTATATTCAGAAATAAATATACAACATCAACTGGAGACACAATTAAAAATAAATCATGGAAAATTTAATTTTTATTTATTTATATAAATTGCTAACTTTTGCTCATGGCTCCGCCCACGTGTATGTCCCCGAAATCACGGTAAAAAGTAGACCGTCCTTTTTCCAGAATCAATAATACGAGTATGTACGTATATCCATGCCAAATTTAATTGAAATCGGTTGAGCGGTTTAGCCGTAAAAGCGTAAAACAGACAGACAGACAGAGTTACTTTCGCATTTATAGTATTAGTAGGGATAATTACGTTTAATCAATTCGACATCAAGTTCGATTGTTGTTTGGCAGTTATATCTAGAGATAAATTTCCTTAACAACAGTCTTGAGCGCTAATCAATCAATCACGCCAATTTAATATACATATTTATACGAAGGTCGAAAAAATTGACAATCGTTTTGGTAACGAACTGGTGAGTATGGCGGATGAGGGAGAGCTTCCAACCCCAGTTCTTGCAGCTTGGAGACTGTCTGTTGCGCAGTATGGGGTTGCGCGTTGTCGTGAAGGAGCAGTGGGGACGACCGATTGACCAAAGCTGGTTGCAGATGTGACCACCAGACCTTGCACCTACCGACTTTTACTTTTTCCAAAATTCAGACAACTTTTTAGTGGGTAAAAAATTCAATTCCCGAGAGGCAGTACAAAATGCCTTTGAAGAGTTTGTTGCCTCCCGTCCAGCTGATTTTTACAAGAAGGGCATCAATAAACTGCCAATGCGTTGGCAAAGATGCGTCCATTGCATGGGTGATTACTTCGAATAACAGAAATAAAAAAGTTTGAAAAAATAAGTACTTTCACTTATTGCATACAAAACGGCAATTTCATAGGTAAAGACCTATTAGTATTTTTTGATATTAGAAAAGATGGATACCACTTTATTTGTACACTAGATTATTATAAGAAGGGTGCCAATTGAGTTAGCGTAGAAAATTAGTATCTGTCTCATAAAATAGCTCTGTATTATAATAAAATATATAGTAAAATTTACTAAATACTGTTACAATATTGTAATATGTACTATAGTATGTATACTTTGTAGAAAACTTTGGACAGTATATGTTTAGATGTATATTAGACCTAGTTTTGTTTAGCATCCCTTTTTTTTTTTTTTTAACGTGTGGAAATCCCCTCGGACCGTCACCCCACCGGTTTAGCATGTGTTTAGCATCCCTGGGCCAACTCCTACTTGAATTTGTAAAAGAGTTCCTGATTCCAACCGACAGTAGACTGTGACTGAAATAGCAGATACGGATACGAACGCTTGATACCTTTATAAATTTGTTTGAAGTTTTAGTTTCTTTCAGTCTCAGTCTTAGTTTCTTTCAGTTTCAGTCAGTTTTAATTTCTGCAACGCTTGTATTTAAATAGTTTAGACGTACGTGGTTTCAATTGTAAATGACGGACCATGAATATCATGCGCCAAGTGTTGTGGGTTCAAACCCCACATGGGCCGACACTTTGTGTGATCCACAAATTGTTGTTCTGAGTCTTGTTGTACTTTGTGTGTCTTTCATGTATGTTTGTAAAATCCCTCGCGACACGGTTATATTCCTAATTTTGTTTGGTTTTGGAGTTGTCTTTTTCATAAAATAAACAAACAAAAACAACTGGAAGAAACTAAAAAAGTCGTATCGTTTTTAATAGATACTTCCAGACTCATAGAATTTGAAGGATAATGATCAATTTATTCCAAGTTTCACTACTTAAAAGGAAGTAAAGGAAATATCTTACTACATCAATTTCAAAAGGTGTAATCGCTGCTTAAAATGAGTGCTTAAGCATATAACTTTGCATTAAAATAAAATGAAAAAGCGTGTTAGTAGCAGACTAAAATAGTGAATGTACTAAAATGACCCACCCAATGAACCTCATGCTCACAAACCAGTAGACCTACTGGCCGGTCATCATCATCATCACCAGCCTATAACAGTCCACTGCTGGACATAGGCCTCTCCTTAGAAAGGAGGTTTTGGCCTACTATACCACGCTGGCCAGACGGGTTGGTACAGGGTTTGTTTCAAGTTTTCCTTCTCTTTGCAGTGCTGTTGTCCCGCGTAATTTGCTACCTTAGTCGGCTCTTACGACACCCACAGGATGAATAGGGGTGGTGACATTCCGTATTCTTAATCCGTCACCACTGCCGGCCGGTCAATGGTAAGAAAAGGCTTCAAAGGAATTTAATATTGTGAAACTAAACGTGTCAGTACCCACATAATGACAGTTGGCAGTCGAATTAACTTCCCATTCATTGAACGTTAGTACAATACAGGCTTTAGGAATTGTATGAACTAATGATTTCCTAACCTCATAATGCAAATCTCTCACGGCGATGTCTTAATAGTCCGTGTGGTGACGGATTAAGAATACGGAATGTCACCACCCCTATTCATCCTGTGGGTGTCGTAAGAGCCGACTAAGGTAGCAAATTACGCGGGACAACAGCACTGCAAAGAGAAGGAAAACTTGAAACAAACCCTGTACCAACCCGTCTGGCCAGCGTGGTATAGTAGGCCAAAATCTCCTTTCTAAGGGGAGGCATTTGTCATCAGTGGACTATTAAAGGCTGATGATGTGATGTCTTAATATGTCTGTATTTAAATACTGTATAAAAAGCGGCAATAAAAAGATAAATTTTGGTATAATTTTGCGTCGATGGACGACTCAAAGGATAATAATTAAACAGGTTTAAATGTAACTGCTATATTTAGTACTCTGAGCCCCGTTAAATAATTTATTTAAAAGTTATAAGTCCTACAGGTGTACTTAAAATGATTTTCACATTGTAATAGAAATGAATAACATTTACTTAAAAAATACTACTTGCAATGTTAATCGTGACCGAATCTTTATAATATAGGGCACAAAGACCAGACAGGTCACCAGAAGCTTAAGTGTGAGTTTATTTCACATCGACTCGCTCTAGACGGTGAACACGTTTGGCATGGCGATTGGTGGAGCTTTCAGGGTTGCAAGTGCTCAAGTGCGTGTCGCCCTTTGAGGCCTACGCTAAGTGGAAAGGAGGGTTAGTTGAGCCTTCGGGAACTTCACTCACTCGTTGAAAATCAACCTAAAGAACTGCTTTGCACCGTTTTTTTGTAAGGTCTGGCCAGCCCTCTGTGTGACGAAGCAAGGCTTTCCCACAAAAATATTTATGAAGTAGAGTATTTTTTGTATGTCGTTACACTGTTCTGGACATACATTTTTATAATAAAGAGCAATAGCAATTTAGAATACTAATCACACATCTATAGGGTTATATCCTATACAAGTTTGAATAAAAATATCCTCACTGGTGCACAAACAAGCTTATCTCAGTCGCGGATTGTTAGAATGCCAACGCTTACTATGCGCTCGCGCATGTTGAATACTGTTGCCACGTTTTAGGCATATTCATCGAGGGTTTTTAAGTCTTGTTAGTCAGTTAGTTTTGTTATTAAAAGTTTGAATAAATAAATAATAGCGCTATGTAAATAACAATAATAACAACTCTTTATAAAATATAATAACGTCTCTACGGCCAGATGACAAATTGCTAAATTACGCAATAGAAGAATCCTATATTCTTCAAATGACTGCAATAGGTTGAATGAAATTGATTGATCAATAATAGCCATTACTAATATGAGTACGGCACCCTAAATATATGATATTAAAACTTTTTAAAGAAGTAACACGAGCGAAATATACATCATTTAGCTGCCACATTTTTAGATCTCTAAGTGTGCTATGTGTGCTAAGTGTCTATTAAATTCACCACTAACGATTAGCAGTTCTAGCTCAGTTCTAGAAAAAGTACTCATTTTAATTAAGTATCAAATACGATTAATAATATGGTAACCCTACTACGACACCGGTGTCAACGAACTACAGACCCCGACCGCGTTATAACTTCGATTACCGCTCAATGCAAGAATGTAATCTCACTTTTGCAATTAGTACTAATGCGTAATGGAATTAAACAATAGAAGCAGCTTGATTTTAGAATTATTATAACGTTCCTAAAATATAAGCTAATGCTA